GAACCCTCTACTCACGGCTCCTAAAAAACCACCCCTCGCTCTTCACAACCTCCATCTCGCACACGACGCGCGCGCCGCGCCCCGGCGAGACGCGAGATGTGGATTACTACTACATCACGATGCCGGAGTTCGAGCAGCTGATTAAGGAGGATGCGTTTGTGGAGCATGCGAAGTTTGGCGATAATAGGTATGGCACGAGTAAAAAGATGATTGCGGAGATGGGGGACCTGGGGAAGGTGGTCGTGTTGGATATTGAGATGGAGGTTAGTTTGCTCTTGTTCCCTTTTATTCCTTTCGATACAAAAAGCAAAAGCAAAATCGAATCAAGACAAGTCAAGATAAGATCTAGAGATTGAATGCTTTTCATACAATTGGGACGTTTGCTAATCATATCATTACAGGGCGTCAAGCAAATCAAAAAATCCTCTATCCCCGCCCGCTTCGTCTTCATCCAACCCCCCTCAATGGCCGAACTCGAATCGCGCCTCCGAGGCCGCGGCACCGAGAAGGAAGAGAGTATACAGAAGCGCCTGGCGCAGGCGAAGAACGAGATGGAGTATGCGGCGACGCCCGGGGCACACGATTTGATTATTGTGAATGATGAGATCGACAAGGCGTATCAGGAGCTCGAGGCATTTATCTTTAAGGGGGAGAAGACGCAGGATCAGGGGGCCAGGGATGGGGGAAAGGCTGGGGAGAGCATTGAGGATTGAGTGCGAGGATTAGGTGGAATTGCTTTGGAGTTAGTTTCATGGAAATAGCATTGAGAGAAAAATTTGGCATTGTTGTCTATAGATAGATAGGTCTTGAGCCTAAGAGCATACTGTTGTTTTGTTACTGCATATAGATCACATTGCAAAATACTGGGCTATAGAAGCTCTTTTCAAAAAGCCTTGACGCTCCCATTTTATAACGCTCTCAGAAAACCGTGCTGAAACTTTACTAGTGAAACAAATTCTCAATTAGAGAAGGCTAATTAGGCAAAAGAAGAAATATGGAGAATTTCAGAGACAAAGTAAAGCCCCAGGTATGTCAAAAGCAGCCAAATTAATCGCTCTCCTTAGCCTGCTCAAGGAAATCCATGAAGTCGCTTTTGCACAGATACCGCGCGCCAATCATAAACAACTGCTCCTCTCGCGCCCCTTTTTTCATAGGTACACCGCCTAGTAGCCGTTCATCGTCATTCTCTGGGAGTTTCTGCTGAGTTCTCTATCGGCTGCTGGGCTGATAGGTCGGCTACCAGTGTGTCCACCACCTGCCGCGCTGCTTTCCTTGAGTGCAAGCAATTGCTTGGCACGGAAAGTCTCGTAGTGAATTTGAGATGTCGTTTCGATCAAATCTTGAAGATGGGTACGGGTGAGGAAATTTCGGAGGTAGACGAATTCGCAGTGGTTCTCATCCTCAACGTTGATAACTCCCCATCTGTTTTGGCGTCCACGGACTTGCTTGCCTCCAACAATGATAGACTTCTCAGATCCAACAACAGCAAAGGGGATGATGTTCTGAATACAATATTAGTCGAATCCATGCAATGCAGTTGCACAACATACCTTGATCTGGGCATTCAAAGCTCGCTCCTCCTCATCGAACTCATCGTTATCGTAAGGGAACATCTTCAGGTTGTGGAAAGCAAACTCCTCCTTTATGCGCTCCTTGAATGCGCTTCTCTCTTCAAGGGTCAAGGAATCGGACTTGGCAATGACTGGGACGACATTGACAACATCTGAGAGCTTCTTCAAGACAACGATATCGATTGGCTTCAAGGCATGGCCTGATGGTTGGATGAAGAAGAGGCAGCAGTGAATCCGGGTGTCTTGAATATATCGTTCGCGCTGAGCTGTGAGCTCCTTTCGTAGATATGCAGAGTGCTGGTCCTTGATGTATTTGACAATTGGGTCCCAGCATCTGTCGTTGTTGACCTGGTCGCCATATCCTGGGGTATCAACGATGTTCAATCGCAGACGAACACCATTTTCCTCGATAACGTGAGAGACAGTTTGGATCTCGGTGGTCGATCGTACTGGCTCATCGGGAGCGAGTCTTCCTTTCGAGTCGATCAGGTGCGAAGCAAAGATGGTGTTAATGAGGGTCGACTTTCCGAGACCAGTTTGTCCTGAAATTACAAAAGTCAGAGAATGCGCCGTAGAAGATGGGACGTGGCATTGCCATGTGGAACTCACCAACGCAGATGACATTGAATTGGAAACCGCGCTTCAACAGCTTGCGCTCAATTTGCGTTGTGATGCTGTCGAAACCAACGTGGCTTCGTGGGTACACTGACTGTTGGGGTGCGTGTCTATCCATGGTGGCCATATCTGCTGCAGAGGAGTTGAAGAAAACGAATGATTCTTCAAAGGGTGTTTATGACTGGGGAAGATCCGACGTTGACGTTGGTTGGGATTTCGAAAATGAACAGGTGCACCTCCGTGTACAAGTATACAAATTAATCGCGTTCTGCGAAAAAGGGGAAGGGAAGGGACGACTAACCTAAAGTGGATACTAGCGCTGTGCACGTTGAAGTGTAGCGCAACCTTAAAGCCTCAGAAAGATTTCAAGCTCAGTGGTGTTGTTTTTCAAGGCAATCAAGTGGTAAATCATTTAATCGCATCTCCCAAGGCCAGCTGCCCACAGTCGCGATGGCTTCAGCTCACGTAACAGCTCGTTCGATCCTCTCGTCCTTCCTCCCGCGCTTGTCTGCACCAACAGCATCAACGACCTCAAGGAATACCGTCCTCTTCTCCCGACAGCTTTCCCTCCCATTGCTTCCGAGATTAGCATTCGCCATCCCTTCGGCGATTCAACTCAATGTCCCAGGATTACTTGAAGGGATCTGGGAGTCTATTCTACGAGCTGTGCCAAAGAAGAAGACTTCGCATATGAAACAGAGGTCTCGACGGTTGGCAGGAAAGGGGTTGAAGGATGTGACATCTCTGAACAAGTGCTCTGCATGTGGGAATGTCAAGAGGGCGCATTATCTTTGTCCGTTTTGCGTCGCGGGTAAGCTTCCCACGCATTGTAGCAATTTCGGTCTCTAATGCTTGAACAGAAATAAAGAACTTTAAGGAGCCGAAGAAGGTCCAGGCTAAGGAGCTGGCGGAGGCTGAGCTGAAGAATGGGGCATCTGAGGAGCCGGTAGATGGAAAGGTGGAAGATGAAAAGAAGGAAAAGAAGGAAATGTAAAGGTGGAATGATGTTCGGGCATTAAAGGGAGGATAGTTGTGAGTGGCATTGCATCGCATTAGCATGAGGCGTTTGGTATCTAGGAACTCCTGAGAAATTGTTCCTATGGTTGCTAGATTTTGTATAAAAAACACTGTATACTAAATGTAGCACTACGTTTACCTCGAAATAATGCTTTTGAAATAGAGTAAAAACAAAATTTAAAAGGTCAATTCTTGTTCACGGGACTACAAGAATATATCCAGCTACAACCCCGCCACAGATCTACAAACTTCAACAACACCGCGCCCAATATACTACAACACCTTCAACTACATTGGCTATGTATCGGTGACAATGGTATTTGAATCCTTGCCATTGTATGACAAATGCTGACCATCTCAGTCTAAACAATACCTCACAACACATACGGTCGATGATGGTAAACACCGAGCTACCCCACCAAGAACCCCCAAGCTGACCACCCAAAGCACACATCACCGACATCTTCTCCCTAGCTGTAACACCCACACAAGTCCTCTCCGCATCAGGCGCCTCCTCCATAAAAGTCCACTCCACTACCACCCCCGACATCCCCCTCGCGCAAACCCTCACCAACGCCCACAAACTTGGCTGCCACCACATCGTCACCTCTCGCAACGGGCGTATCGCTGCCAGCGCCGGTTTCGGCGGCGAAGTCAAGATCTGGAATATCTCGGAGTCGGAAGAATGGGAAGAAGCAGGCAAGATTGTGGACGGGAATAAGGCTGGTGAGATCTGGGCTATTGCGTTGAGTGAGGATGGACAGTTTCTAGCGGCGACAACGTATGATGGGCGCATTAATGTGTGGGACTTAGTAGAAGATAGAAAGAAGATCAGGGAGTATGAGACGAAAGGGAGCTTTGGCATGTGTATTGATATTAGCCGGGATGGGAGGTTTACGGCGAGTGGGCATGAGAGTGGGGCAGTTTATGTGTTCAATAACGATACGGGAAGGATGGTACATTCGTTGCCTGGTGAGTTCTCTGGCTTTTACGGAAGGGGGACTTGCTAATCGGAGTAGGCCTGGTGAAGCCTGTACGGACGGTGGCCTTTTCACCAGCGGGAACTCGTTTGGCTGCTGCTGGCGATGCAAGAGTTATTGCGTTGTATGATGTTCAACATGGGGAGCAAGTTGCGGATTTGACTGGTCACTCGGCGTGGATCTTTTCCGTTGACTGGAGTGATGCTGGCGAGTATCTGCTTAGTGGTTCGTTTGATGGGAAGGTCAAGGTCTGGTCTATTGATAGGAGAGTTTGTGTGGCTACACATAGCGAAACGGACAAGACGTTATGGTGCGTGAAGTGGTTGCCAAAAGTTGGGAATAAGAGTGAGGCTTTTGCTACGGCAGGTGCAAATCGAAGCATCTCCTTCTACAGAGAGGCAACTGGGGGTTAAGGAAATATGATGGACAACCTGAATCCGAGAACGCCGAAATATGGCAAATATGGCAAACATGGCGCTAGATAGTATGTCCAGATGAACTACGGCAACAGGACAATCCCCTCCATCAAGTAGCATGTATAACAGAATCAAAAGTCATTTGCCGAGAGCCTCCAACCCGGGGAGTGTAAACATCCAATTGAGAAGCAATTCCGACCGACAGGCGGATGTTTAGTATCGCATTACTATGAGCGTTCAGGCTCCAATAAAACCTCAACACCATCCCTTAACGCAACCCTCTTATTCTCCTCCCACCTCACCCACGCTAACCCCTGCAACATCGAATCCGCCAAATCATCCAGCTTTCCCATCCTCTCCTCTCCATCCTTCACCTTGCTATACCTCTTCCCATCCCACTTCTCCCTATACGCCTTCGCCACCCCCTGCACCTCTTCACTCCCCAAACTCAGCATCTCCCCATCCTCCAACCACTGCCTCACAAGATCAATCTTCGCTCCTTTATTCTTAGCCTTAGCACCTTTAGCTTTCCTCCCCTTCTCTTTCCTCTCCTCGTCTATCCAAAACGGTCCCACTTTGCCAGGAGCAATGGCTTCCACACTACCATCCCAGATTTTTTCTCCTTTGAGGGTGTATAGAACGCCGTAGAGGATCGACTCGAACATGTTTACGCGAACCGTCCATTCCAGGATATGTTTCGAGCCCATTGAACGAAACCGCTGGCGTTCAATTAAGATATGCGTAGGCTTCAAAAGCAGCAAACGGTGTCTAAGCAACTCATATGCAGTGCAAGACAGCGTAGCAGGAGTAAAAGACTCCTTGACTGCAAGCGTAGAGCCGGAATCAGAAGGCGGAGACGAGACCGCAAGACGCTGCCATGCTTTAATTATCGGCGCTTCCTTAGGAGGTACGTCTAGAACGCAATAAGCAAGATTCCTGATGCCCATATCTATACTGAGTATTCGACTTGGTTTTGTCTTGCTCCCGCGGGGGGAGACGGACGTGATCTCATCGTGGAGACGTTGCGTGAGGATTGGCTTGGTGCCCGAGCTTGAGATGCCGCATTTGAAGGCTATGTGCTTTAGATGGGCGAGCTTGAGGGTGGAGGGAATGCTGAGTGCCATGCATGGTCTGTGGTGCTCTTTGGGGAAGAGATGTAGGTGTAAAAGGTGTTAAGGGGGATCGTAAAGCAAGGCTGGCTTAAACCTAATCGGGATTTGGCGTGTTTTCCAATTCAGTCTGGTCATAGCCATCACAGACTCACAGTCATCACCCCCCGCTTTTGGTCACCCCCGTTTCTAGAGGGGCAGTATAGAGCCAGAAGAAGCTCCGTATAAAACAGTCTTTGCCATGTTATCCTACCGCATTCTCGAGATGTCTATAAGAACGGCCATCGCCCATCACTCCTCCTTCGAGGTTCCTTGCTTTCTAAATGAGTGTCATGAATGTGAACTTGTCGTAGTAAACAAAGTCTTTGAAAGATCCTTTTCTCCACTCATCGATTCTCTTCGCTAAGCACGAACCCAATTCTTGAAAGAGCCTCTGGAATCTGTAGTACTATACGGGCTAGAGGTAACGTGATCTTTCCCTTACTACCTTAGGCTTAGCGTAAACAGAGGGTTTTGCCTTATAAATATTTAATCGGAGACAGTCAGTTTCTATACTAAAAGTCTGAATATCAATTAATTAATAACTCATTATACCCACCAACAATTCCATACTATATCAAGCCAAATCCGTAGCCCTTCTCTTGCACTTTCATATGCAATTAAAATCATCTTAATATACACTTAAAAAGTATACTCTCTTCTACTAAACTCCAACAGCCTGAACCACAAAAGCAAATAATATGAATTTAACATAAAAAAAAAAATAGGCCCACATTTCTCTCCTTACCCAAACCAGCCAGATTAACCATTGGTCCGTTTCTGCCTGTTGGAATCTCGAGAATGTGACATCGGTCACCTTAATCAATCAAGATGCCAGCCACAACTCGATTTGATGCGATGCAGCTGCCAGATGGTAATCAAGCCAGAATGGACTTCCTCGAATCCTCTTTTTACAAAGGTCACGATTCCGGACGGTGCTTACCATCGCCCGTGGAGGTTCGAGCCTCATCGGGCAGAAATCGACCAACGCCTCAACCACCGCCTGTGAAATTTGAACATCTTGATCTCATTGTCAAATATGGTCCTCATGTTACAGTTGCTGAAGCGCAATGTCTCTGGATGATCAAAAGAGTTCTTCGAGAGCAAGTTCCTGTGCCTGAGGTTTATGGTTGGCGGGTCGATGGGCAAGATGTTTTTATATACATGGAGTTTTTACGAGGAACGACGTTGAAGGACCGATGGGATTTTCTGAGCGTCGGCGATAGAACCACTCTTTGCAATCACCTACACCAGATAATGGAATCTCTCCGTCATGTCGAGCAAGATCCAAAAGATCCATTTATTGGTATGATCTGCAAGCAAGTACTGTTAGAGGACAGACATCGACTGAATTCTTCCAGGCTCCATCAGTCGCCACCATCTGTTAGACATTGTGTTCGAAGGGCAGCCCCAAGGTGGTCCTTTCGCTACTATCAAAGAATTCAATGACTGGTTTTCGGGGTTGCCGTGGCTTCGATTTCCCAACCTAGAAAGTTTTCAAGATTCTTGGAGAGCTTCATTACCAGATACTGGGACTATAAAATTCACTCATGGGGATCTTCATCAAGCAAACATTTTGATCTCTTCGACGGGGACGCCTCGTGTGCTCGCAGTCGTTGACTGGGCCCATGGCGGATGGTATCCCGATTATTGGGAATACTGCAAAGCAGCCTATACTTCCGCTTACGATGGAGAATGGCGTAATAAATGGGTCCCACTGTTTTTGAATCCAATGTCTGAGGTGCACGAGATCTTTGCGGAATATATAAATGCAATGGGAGCTATTTGAAGGGATCTTGCCTCTGAAATAAACGCAACAGCTCTGTGTTAGAGTGCCTATTGCAATTATAGCAAAAAGCTCTAGGAGATGATCAGGTTGTTCATGCACTCTAGATACTTCGTATAAAGCAGATAAGTGTCGTAAGACTGCTAAGCGCGCCTTTTCACACTTGCCAAGCAGCCATAATCTTATGTTACATGCAGCTGCTTAGGTGCATGCATGCACTGTCAACACGACAAGGGCCAATTACTATTTTCTCCCCTTTTGTAAATATTTATCTTCTTTTAGGTCTATTTTCAGCTGAGGGATTACCGTTTGAACCAGGGACGATGGGGTCTTGCTCTGCGCCTCTTACTGTCCGTCTATTACTTATTACGGACGTTTAAAAGAGTCTGAGATCCAAAGAATCGATCTCTAGCTCCCGAAAACGCACGTGTATCTTTACGTATTCATCACTATGTTGCTTGAATCGTCACTCCCAAGTGCACTCGTCGATGGGCAACGGCCGGTTTGGCTCCTCCTCCTCGCAGCGATAATCTACTGGCAATGGCGGTCCTACCGGCAGCTTTCTCATTTCAAAGGACCGTTCTGGGCTCGTTTTACAAACCTATGGATGTACCAAAAAGTCTCGGGCAAGACACAATATAGGGATCTATACAATGTGATACTTCAGTATGGTTGGTATACCCTCTTCCCCAGCCAAGTATACAGTATTTGATCTTGGAACTAGGTGATTTGGCAAGGATTGCTCCCAATCAACTCGTCACAGGCGACATCGACATGCTCCATCGTATGAGCGCGGCAAGGTCAAATTACACGAGATCGCAAATCTACGCTGGGAACACCCTAATGCCGGAAACGCACAACACTTTCTCCATGGTCGACGAGCCAGCACATACGAAGCGTCGAGCTGTGATAGCAGCTGGTGTAAGTCCTTGAAGCTACCTACTCGTGCCTCCTTGTACAGTGTACTCACAGATGGCAGTATACCGGAAAAGAAACCGAGGAACTCGAAAGCAAAGTAAACCAGCAAATAGCGCAGTTCCTGAACCTCATCAGAACCAAATACATCAGCACCGATACCGATGTCCGACCCTTAGACCTCGCCCGGAAATGCGGTTACTTCACTCTGGATACTATCACTAACCTCTCTTTCAGCTCGCCTTGGGGATTCCTCGTCGAAGATAAGGATCTAGGCAATTGGTTTGCACTAGTAGGATGGCAGTTCAAGATCGTGACCACGATGCAATCGATCCCTTGGTTGTTAAATATCGTGACTACACCATGGGCTGGAAGGCTGATGGCGAAATTCCAAGATCCGTCGCGGGGAGCAGCCTCATTAGTAGCGAGGACGACGCAAAATGTGCAGGCGAGGTTTGCGACCAAGAATCCGGGAGAGAAGATGGATATGATGGGATCGTTCATCAGACATGGGATTACAGAAACCGAGGCTGCCTCGGAGGCAATTCTCGCAGTGTACGTCTGTTTGTTTGGCTTCCTTACTTGCTTACTAACTAGACAATGGTTAACTTTGAGTATATATGCATTATGAATAATATTGACTGCGAGTAGAATTGCGGGATCCGATACAACAGCATCAGCCATCCGCTCAACACTCCTCTACATCCTCACAAACCCCCGCGTCTACCGCAAGCTCCAGGACGAAATAGACGCTACTGCCGTCCCCTCCGGCTCCATAATATCCGACGCTCAATCCAAGACGCTGCCCTACTTGCAAGCGGTAATCCGCGAAGGCGCGCGTATCGTCCCGCCGACAGCAGCCACGTTCGCCAAAGTAGCGCCCAAGGGCGGCGATACCGTGAACGGGCGTTTCATCCCCGGCGGAACGCAAATCTGTATCAGCATCTTGGCCGTCCTGAGGGAGAAGCAGGTCTTTGGTGAAGATGTGGAGATGTTTAGACCGGAAAGGTGGATTACTGATGCGGAGAGGTTTAAGGGGATGGAGAAGAATCTGAATATGATTTGGGGGTATGGACGGTATCAATGCTTGGGGAAGGATCTGGCGTGGATGGAGTTAAGGTTTATTTCGAGGTATGTTTTGTTCTTTACTTGTCTGTTGATTAGTGTAGGTTGTCTTGAGTCGACTGACGGGTTTTGATTGATTAGCTTCTGAAGAACTTCGATTTCCAGATCATCAATCCTTCGCATCCGTGGAAAAGCGAAAATTATGGATTGTGGTTGCAGAAGAATATGTTTGTCAAGGCGACATTGCGGAGGTAGATTCCATTCCAATTTGGCAAGTGGATAGATAGATAGGGGAGTTAATGTCCAAGAAGAACTGCTTAGGTCGCAGATATGATTGAATATAAGAGTTGGAACGGAACAAGAACGAGCTCAAGCTCAAGCTCTGGCTAAAAACTTGGAGGTGAAGAATTTGATCATCTCCGAATGACGAAAGTGCATGCTATTGGTGCTACTCATCTGTTGTGTACTTAAGGCTATCCCTATTCACCCAAGCGATGCAAATGTGGCAATATTGACTTTCGCAAATATATACTATCTATCTATCCTTTCGGGATGAAGATGCTGTAGGGATGTCGTAGTGCCAATGTTCCACACCCTCTGAGTAATTAAGCAGTAATTGCATCCAATTATCTGGACTACAAAAAGCGGAGAATGCTGAGATTCAGATCACTGCTATTACAATTCAACCGCATCTTCGTATGCGCCCAATGCTTAACCTCAAGCTTTCCAAACCCCACTCGCCACCCACTTGGACTCGCAATACTCCCACACCTTCTTGGGATAGCCCAAACCACCCTTCTCCTCATCCGTCATTGCTTTAATGATATCTTTCCTCGGGGAGTCCTTGTCCTCGTGCAGTCTGCCCCAGGGAATAACATAGGCGCCATTATTGGCCAACGAGATATCAGGCGAAAAAGCAGCGTATAGGTTCGTGTAGGCGCCGTAGATGGGCTCGTTGAGAAGCATGTTGATGAAGAATTGACCGACAGCGGGGACGCCAGCATACATGTTTGTTTTCAACCCGCCTGGATTTTGAATGACGCTGATAATACCATCCTTCCCATATCTCTTTGCAAACTCACGGCCAACCATCCAGTTGCCGGCTTTCGAGATGGCGTAGTTTTTGGTGAGATGGGGGTATCCTTCATCCAGGAGCGCGAGATCAATACCGTTGGGTGGAGTCATGCCTTCAGCTAAGAAACTAGAGGTCCAGACAACACGAGCGGAAGCTCCACCGGTGGAGGCAGCTTTGAGTTGGGGAACGAGGAGGTTGGTGAATAGTAAAGAGGCAACGACGTGGACGCCAAACATAACATCAAGACCTTGAGCTGTTTTGGCACCCATCGTAACGTTGTTAGCGCCGATACCAGCATTGTTCCAGAGAATGTCGAGCCTGGTTTCTTGCTTGGCGAATTCTTCTGCAGCGGCTTTGACAGACAGAAGATCATTCAGATCGAGGTGGAGGAATTTGATTTTCCCAAGTGTTTCTGAGGCTGGGGTTGATGCTTCAAGCTCGGCGATGGCCTTTTCTGCTCTCTCCTATACAGAGTGTTGAGTAAGCTAATATGATACGAAAGGAATATAACACAGCTGCGAGATCTTAGGGCATTGGATACCTTGGATCGTGAGGCCATATAGATTGTGGCGCCAGTAGGATAGAGCAGCTTGATCAAGGCATATCCAACCCCGGCATTTCCCCCCGTGACAATGAAGACCTTGCCCTTCTGCGGAGGCACGTTTTTGTCGGTGAACTGGGGCGCAGGAGGGAACCACTGCTTTCGCAAGTTGCGCAAAGCTGGCAGCGCCATAATTGTACTGTGATGTACGTTACGTAGCTTTCACGATGTTATCTGCTTGGTGTAGAGTAGTTCTAGCTCAGTAGTATGGTGAAGGGATTCTGAATAATCAATGCCAGCATTGCCAAGCCATGCGCATGACAAAACCAGGACGCTCGCTGGTTTGCAGCAACCGAGCAGGTCTGTTGCTACTGCGCTTACATTGCATGCATCCTCATTGCGTGAAGGGTTGGGCTGACCTCTGACATCTGACAGTCCGATTCCGTATGTCGTATAGGGGGAAGTACGTACGGCAATGCGATGCCCACCTCCGCTGTTTCTTTTTCCCGTGCGGCCCGTGCACCCCGCTCGAAACGGCCCGCATGCGGCAGGAGTGTGCCCTCCTATACCTTGTTATAGAAAGATAAACAATTAGACCTGATAAGGCAGTCCTTGGTATAGTCAGATTATCCAACACGCGTGCTTATCATGCAAGTAAGCAGCAGCGCTGCACAACAGTACTATAGGATACAGTAATAGGATTAGATCAAACGGCGTATGTGTTTTGGGGGCAGGGCGGGCGTCGGACGAACCCCCTACAAATGTAAAAGGTGGGTATGTTTTAATGGATTTCTGGTCGGTGAGTACTTAAAAACATCTAATTTATACAGTAAAGTTTACGTAGCTACCAGTAAGCAGCGGATGATTTGCGTGCAGTGGGTCGCTCCGATGGACCCCCCTTTAGTTCCTCGCTTAGTTTTCACTTCCGTGCGTTACCAGCGAATATGTTGATTATATAGTGTGCATCTATCATACATGAGTTATAGCATCATTATACAGTTGGTAAGACTCTGACTTGTATCTGTTGTATCGTACTTAGTTCGTTGCTTCTAGCGAGTAAATTAATACACATTAATAGTGCACTTGAACCCTAACTTCTTCAACATTTTATGGTTTGAAATCACGTTTGTCTATTCGTGATTTCAATCAATGGACATGGCCTTCTCCAAGTATCAAAATCTTGATTGGGACTTTGATCGTGCAACTTTGGTTGCAAAACTGCTTCCCCTGCTTCCAGAAACCGCGGGATTGTTGGGCGTCTTATACATTCTCTACGGCATTGGTCTTGGCATTTATCGATTATTCTTTAGCCCTATCGCCAAATTCCCAGGTCCCAAACTTGCGGCCTTTACGCAATGGTATGAGGTCTATTTCGACATGATGAAGAAGGGTGGTGGACAATTCCCCTTTGAAATAAAATGAATGCATGATGTATATGGGTACGTAACTTATCACTTTCCCTATTCTCCTCTTCTAGTCTAGGGGCTTTTCATGGAAGTTACTAACTCCTTCCAACAGTCCAATCGTGAGAATAAACCCTTGGGAGCTCCATGTCGACGACCCGGAATTTCACGACACCATTTATGCAACAAACAAAGCATACGACAAGATGACCCATTTCCAGTTCCGTTTCAATGTCCCCTTGGCCACTTTCAGCACGGCCGACTCAGAGGAACATCGTATGCGTCGTACAGCCATCGCTCCGTTTTTCTCTAAATCTCGAATCCGTGGGCGGGCCTACCAGATCCAGTCAATCATAGACGGAATATCCTATCGTTTGCTGACAGAATACGCTGGGAAGGGCAAAGTCCTCAGCGTTGAGAACATGTGGGGTTGTTTCACCGCCGATGCTATTATGGATATCGTGTTCGCTCGACCCAAGCATTTCTCACAATACCCTGATTTTGCATCGCCGTTTACGGTTGCCCTTCGCCAGATGGCCGTCTGGTCTCATACCACCCTCCATTTTGGTTGGATCTTGACTCTGATGAATTGCATCCCAAATGCCGTGACTAAAGTCCTGTTTCCTCCTTTCAACCCTGTCCTTGAATTTCAAGAGGTAAGTCTTGACAAGTATTCAACCAGGACATGCTCTTAAAATATATAGACTTACTTTGGAGTAGGAAATGGATAAAGAAATTAAAGAGGTCCTTGCTGGTCGCAATGAGGAAGCCAAGGTCGCAACACTACCCACCGTTTTCCACGACATCTTGAGCTCAAACCTCCCACCACACGAATTGTCATTGAAGCGCCTGTCTCATGAAGCAGTAAGCCTCGTTGGTGCTGGGACCGAGACGACCGCATGGTCGTTGACCATTGGAACTTGCCATATCCTCGATAACCCTCACGTCCTCAAGCAATTAAAGGACGAGCTGATTAAAGCTATGCCCGATCCCAGCAAGCCTCTTTCAATTGCCGAGCTAGAACAATTGCCTTACCTCGATGCTGTCGTTAAGGAGAGTAAGTTCAAGATCTATTGATATCTTGCCGTGAAAGTGTCTGTCTGACACTTATGACTAGTCCTCCGCATCGCCTTTGGCGGCGTGGAACGCCTGCCCCGCATCAACCGAACCGGCGCCTGGTTCTACGGCAAATGGGTGATACCCCCAGGTACGCCCGTAGGAATGGACCAATACCACATGCATTTCAACGAACAGATATTCCCGGAACCCAGCGTCTTCAAGCCCGAGCGCTGGCTCGGCAACCCGCGCGGTCCCGACGGCACCAAGCTCCTAACGTACTATCTCACGACGTTTGCTAAAGGCACCCGTATGTGCACGGGTCTATATCTGGCGTACGCAGAGATCTATATTGGGCTGTCGACGCTGTTTCGGAGACATGACTTTGAGCTTTTCGAGACGACGCGCAGGGATGTGGAGTTCTATGCGGAGTTTTTGAAGGCAAGTCCTTGGCCGGGTAGTAAGGGGGTGCGGGTTCTGGTTAAGTAGAACTGCGCCTCTCATCTACGCTGATGGGTAAGCTAAGCCTTCTTGCAATGAGAGGATAGATGAAGCTTTTGTGGATTTAAAATTCGGGGAAAATACTGTTATTTCCTTGGTGTGTTGTGTTTGGTGGAGTTTGAACTGCAGCATAGACCACTATCTTGGTACTTACTGTAGCGATACGCTAGGAAATTAAATAAAAGACGGCGACGGTGCTTTTGCAGACCTTTTCTGCATTCATCCATCTACAACTTCTTATCAAAACAGTTATTTCCCCTCCCGACGTTCTTATTCTTGTACTTAGAGAACCACTACCTGCCCCTCTTTCAAGGAGCGCGACAGCCATCCTTGAGATCCTCAGACATGCTTATAAGTAGCTCCTTGGCGCTATGCTAGCGCCAGAAGCACTACCCTGAGCATGCCAGAAGACCCAACTTGCCATACAAAAGTCACGTTACTTCAACCACCTCTGACGTAAAACTAAGAGCAAAGCAACTAACTTAGGGGCTATCTGGTTCAGTGAGCCAGGTTGACTGTTTTGGGTCAAAAGAGGTCAAAATCAGATTGAATTTTCGTTGGGGTATGCATAGACTTTTTTTATATATGTTTAAAATGCTTCTTTAAGTTGAAAGTCCTTTGACACAAGTAGTGTCTAGCTTGGATTTATGCGGATTTATTTATATAGTGCATAAGCATTTTTGACCCAAACAGCGTCTGGCAAAAAATATATGTGGACCACGAAAATCGACTTTTCTGACCCAAAAGAGTGAACTAGACAAGCCCTTATACTATTCAGCGTTTGTTTTTCTCGGTCACCTATGCGCTACTTCTAATTTCATATTGAATTTCAGACGCCGTAATCTATCCAGAAATCTAAATCTATGTCTAACTCTTGACAAAAACACATATGCGAGTTACGCTTACTGTCGCTGCCTAAGCAGTGTATCTACCACTTCGTTGTGGCTTGCAGTGACGGCTATATATAATGGCGATTTCCCATCCTTGTCCAACGCCTCGCAATCTGCCCCATGCGCCAGCAGTAACGACACTATCAAATCATGCCCATACTCCGACGCCACATGCAGAGCTGTGCGTCCATGGCTGTCTGGTTCATTGACAGCCGCTCCGTGTTTCAGTAGACTCTGGAGCACCCCGCGATTACCTGTCTGTGCGCTGACGTGCAGAAGGGGCGGGAGCAATCCCGGAGCGGCAGCTGTGGCGGGTGAAGGGATCTCCAGTTGATACTGAGGTTGGTAGCTGCTTTTGCTGCTAGCTGTTGGCGAGCTGGAGTTTGCAGAGCTGGCTCCAGCTTTAGGAGACCATTGCCCGAAGTACGAGCTGTCACCAGAAGTGTCAAGTTCTAGATTCGGCCAGCTTGCCGTTGCCATATTTGATTCGGGGGGTAGGAGCTGGTATTGAAGTCCCAAGGTGGGATTGGATCCGGAGTTGTTCAAATCAGTCACGATGCCATCAACGCCAGGTCCACCACTGGCCCCCACTATCCCCAAATCCATAAACACACCCGCGTCATTTTCGACGGTCGGGCTTGCAGAGGAGCATATAGATTCCGGTTGCTGGGTAAATTCCTGCAGCGGGCCTTCCCATGGTGCATTCTCGGGTCTACCACGTTCAATATCGTTGTGCGGACTTGTGCTTGACTCCATAAAAAAGAACTCGTTGTGTGAAGGCTGAGCTGCATCATTACTGTTACATCCTCTTTGACTTGGTGCTGTATCACTTGGGATCAGTTCAAACTCGGCTCGGGCTCCCTTCCGCTCTAACACTTTCTTCTCTAGCCGGTTATTAGTAGCAATCATGCAAGTATGGCCTGAACAGGTGACTCACGTCTGAACTTTCTCTGTGACAGTCTATTCTGGAGCCGCCGATGCTCAGTGACTGCATCCATCTCAATCGTGAAGGTGCTCATCTATGATTTGAGCTAAAGCTCTATCAGATTCCGGTCTCGAATATACTGTCTTAGGTGAATGAAGAAAAAGTTGGGACCGTTATGTTTCGATTTCGGACAGATGCTCAAAGTTGGGCGAATTCGAAATGTATTCGACTTGCCTTTCAATCATCTACACAACATAGAATTGGATGTGAAGGGCTTATTACAAGAAAAAGCCTTAGGTACAAACGGTCTAGAATCAACCTGGCAAGGCTAAACATGATAGGAATACAATTCAAACTCTTCTACGGAGGTATCGTCCTGCTGTTAATCTTAGTGCATAGGTGGGTTGATCGCTTCCCCCCCCAATCAACGGCACGGCTCGCATATATGCAAGTAGAGCTTACGGCTCATCCATCACCCGCACTTGTAAGACGTCCCTGGCCGAAACAAGCCCTGCCGAGCTCGGTATCGGCGAGTATTCGTCCGAGTAGGATGATGCAGTACATAGGAGCAATTCGTCAGACACAGTCTCAACACTAGCAGACTAGCAGATTAGCATAGGGAAGCGGGCCGGTCAACGGAATAATGTTAAAGATAGTATGAAGGCAGAAATGTCATGCAGGATGGCGCGTTTGCAGGGGTGAGATATTGGTGGTGTTTTTGTTGATAACAGCCCAATGGCCCTGCAGCCAATGAGAGGGCACCGGGGAAAACCCATGATTGAGCCTCCGGAAAATAATTCTTCTACGCTAGACCAACAACAATTTATAAAACGATCACAATGGATTATTGCAAAGGTATCTTTTGGGTAATGACTTTACGGTTTACGAGCCTGCAGCCAATTAGAAGGACAGACGACCCCCCTATTTGCACAACTTTCAGCCGAAGCGAGCGAAAAAGGAAAGACCGACTATTATAGCTCCGTACCTACGTACAAAACAGAAGAAACACAGCGCTCGGCTTATGTAACAAACTTCGAGGAACATACGTATTAAATATCCCGAAAGGCCGAGGCCTATCCAAATAAAATATAGAAAAGGAGCTATCAAAAGTATTTTACGTATGGTTTTCTAGAACTCTGGTTTGCATTAGCTTAGCATTATACCGAATCTAGCTATTTAACTTATTTCCGGCATTTGCAGATCCTCTGGAAATAAAGTATATATGGAAACCTTGGACCATAGCTTATTTAGGTGAAAAGCGTAAAGAAGTAGAACAAACACCAGCTTTTTAATTGTGTTTACGGAACTAGTTTAGTAAGCCATAAGACTGTACACCACTCTAGCTAAATAGGGGTCAAATATCAGTATTCTTATACGCGTGTTACCGCGTAGGATGGCTCTATTACAATCATGCCGCCGAGTGGCGTCGACAGGTGGTGTCTAAAAATAATACAATGGCTTTTGCGGCTTGGTAGCAAGCTGAGCAGAGCGGGACTGAGGAATCGAATAAGAAGTCCTTGGGCGGCGAATTTTATACTTATACTTTTACCTCCAGGTCACTTCAATCTTCATCTATTACATTAACATTTTTAATAGTATGCATATGGCCCAAGACAACCTTTCTCGAACAACATGTCTGCTATGCATATGCTGGTAAGCCTGCTTGCATTCACCAACCTATCAATGGGCTCGTTTGGTGCATCTGCATCAACCTTCCAGAAGTGCAAAAATATCCCCGGTGATGCTGCGTGGCCGGCTAAAAGTGATTGGGATGCATTGAACGCGAATGATGAGCAATCTTTGAAGAACAGCGTTAAGTCACTATCAAGACATATTCTCAACCCAGCGGTATCTCTGGACACTGCAGATCTGGCGTATACCCTCTCAGAACGAAGAAGTCGCCACTACCATCGTGGGTTTGTCGTGTCTAAGACGAGCTCATTTCCCGGGGAGTCCGTTGTTTACGGTAAAAGCCAGGGCACAACTGGAGTTGGATTTGTCTTTACTGGTCCAGGAGCCCAGTGGTCTCAGATGGGATTGGAGTTGATAGACACATTCTCTACTGCAAAGAGAACGATTCAACATTTGGACGACGTCCTCCAGGCCCTGCCTTCACCTCCAAGCTGGACCCTCCTAAGCGAGTTGACTGAGGCTCTAAAACCAGAAGCTCTTCGTTTGCCAGAATTCTCCCAGCCCCTAGTTACAGCTTTGCAACTTGCTTTGGCTCATAAGAACCCGATCTTGAAAATCGCAGAGCTCAATCTCGATGCGGAAGATCAGAGTAGTTTGTGGCTGCAACGCCCAAATCCAAAAAGAGCTGCCAGTTCCCTCTACCGCTTTGCTTCCAGCGACTCCACGACAGTGGTCAGCGCCCAGGAGAAATATTCCCCTTCCGCTCCGAATGCTGGGTTCACGTGGTTTGATCTAGCCAAAGCAGAACCGATTCTCGGTGAAGTCAAATTTGATGCCGTCCTCGTCAAAAACCACCAGTCTGTTTCCGAAGAGGCCTTGAACGTAGCCGTTGACAGCATATCTGCATCTGTTCAAGAGGGCGGATTGGTCTTGGTTGCCGGATCTGATAACTCGTTCACTCAAGCCGCCCTTGAAAGAATTGGACAGGTTCATACCACTGATGATAATCTCTACATCTGTGTAGTTGCCTCTCCTGTAGACTTGGAACAGCCCGCGCACCCAACTACTAGTCTCGTCAGCTTCTCGCATGAGCAGGCACCTGCTGAGCTCCTTGGATCTCTTGGCAAATGGCACATCAAGGCCGGACAACCACTCAGTGAGATTGAGACCAACCAAACCATTCTCGTCTTGGATGAGCTCTCATCCTCGACTATGGACCGATTGGACGAGAACTCCTGGACTCTGTTGCAAGAGCTTGTTCAAAAAGAAACCAAGATTCTCTGGGTTACCACTGGGGCACAGCTTGATGTCACAGAGCCTACCAAAGCCGCGATCAATGGATTCTTCCGTGTTTTGCGTGCGGAAGAACCACTTCTTAATCTGGTGACTCTGGATGTCGGCCAGGCCACTGGACCAGCAACCGCGGCCGCTATTGATACTTGTCTGACACTCATCAACAAACCAAAGCCCAAACAACAAGTCGACAGCGAGTTTGTCGAACGGGATGGTATATTTTATATAAGCCGTCTGATCCCCGAGGAGGATCTCACCAAATACCAGAATGACGACCTTGGCAGTCTCAAAACCGAAGTGGTCGATCTTCATGCGAGCCAGACTCCCATCCGGTTGCGAACGGAGAGACTCGGGAACATCGATTCCATTCACTATGGGGAGATCTCGCCAGTTCCTCTGGCTTTGGGAAGCGGTTGCCTTGAAGTCGAACTCTTTGCTGCGGGTATGAACTACAAAGATGTCGTGGTCTCTATGGGTATCGTCCCTGGCAATGAGCACACCCTTGGTGGAGAAGGCGCTGGCATCGTCACGCGGGTTTCTCCGGACATCGATAACTTCAAGGTCGGGCAACGAGTCGTCGTCTTTGACAAGGGAACCTTTGCAAACAGAATCCAGACGACACCTGGACGTTGTTACGCTCTTCCAGATGAGTGTCTTTCGAGCAGGCGTCCACGCTTTCTGCCGTCTACTTGACATCTATTTATGGCTTGTTTGATCTGGCGAACCTTTCCAAGGGCCAGTCGGTTTTGATCCATTCGGCGGCTGGGGGTGTGGGTATTGCGGCTATTCAGCTTTGTCAGTATATTGGCGCGGAGCTTTTCGTCACTGTTGGGACGGGGGAAAAGAGAGACTTCCTGAAATCGACATTTGGACTTACAGATGACCATATTTTCAACTCAAGAAACACTGACTTCGCTTCAGACGTCTTGGCGGCGACGAATGGCAGAGGAATTGATGTCGTTCTCAACTCCCTCACCGGGGACATGCTGGACGAGTCTTTCCGCCTCCTGGCCGACGGCGGGAGAATGGTCGAGATCGGGAAGAAAGATATTCTTGATCGCAATTCCCTTGCCATGGAACCTTTCGATCGGAACATCTCTTTCATGGCTGTAGATATGTCGCACGAGAGAGCTCCGGATCATCTAGTGCAACGACTCCTGGCGAGATTGTTTGGGCTCATCAAGAGTGGCTACGTCAAACCAATTGTGCGCATCCACACCTTCTCTTTCTCAGACGTGCCTTCTGCAATCCGGTTCTTGCGAGCTGGAAAACACATTGGGAAGATCGTGATCACTGATGGACTCGAGCCTGCCATCAAGGTGCCAGTTCGACGAGCCCTCAAGACGATGAAGTTCCGTGATGACGCTTGTTATTTGATCGTCGGTGGATTGAAGGGTCTCTGCGCTTCCCTTGTTGTGTACATGGCTAAGAACGGTGCTAAGCACCTTGCTGTGATCTCTCGTAGTGGTCATAGCGACGAGAAATCTCAAGGCGTTGTCAAGGAGATTGAAGCTTTAGGATGTCAAATTGATCTCTTATCAGCTGATGTTGCTATTGCATCTGATGTTGAGAAGGCTTTCCAAGCAACGACTGTACCGATCGCTGGTATTGTACAAGGGGCCATGGTTCTACGGGTAAGCTCCTCCTTTGCTCAATTACTGACCGGTCGCAATCATGTATACTAATCTCTTCACAGGATCGAATGTTCTCATCCATGGACGTTTCCGATTACCACGGAGCCCTTGCATGCAAAGTCCAAGGAACATGGAACCTGCACAACGTCGCCGAGAAACTGGGTCTGAAACTCGACTTCTTCACCATGCTGTCCAGTATCTCTGGAGTCGTAGGACAGAAGGGGCAAGCTAATTATGCCGCCGGAAATGCATTCCTGGATGCCTTTGCCAGCTATCGCCACGGACTCGGCCAGCCAGCCTGTTCAGTAGATCTCGGCGTCATCGAAGACGTTGGGTATATCGCCGAACGCGACGGGATGCAGGCAAAACTAGACACCAGCATCTGGACGGGTATCAACGAGCGCCTCCTCCGCAAAATCTTGTACTTCTCCATCGTACAGCAGCAAGAAGGAACGGCGCGGCTTGCTCAGTCCACACAAATCATCACGGGCATTCCCGTGCCCCAGCCTGCGGACTCGGGACTCATCCAAGATGCTCGGTTCGCGCCTCTATTCACGAACGCTGGAAAGGCCAAGGGTGGCGGCGATGCCAAATCCTCTGCATCGAAGGATGTCCAAGCTGTTCTGCTCCTGCTCAGATCCAAGACCGCAGATGCAGATACACAGCTGGCAGCAACGGTCGATATCGTCAATAAATGCTTTGTGAGAATCCTGAGACTTCCGGAACCGATGGATGTTGGAAGACCGATATCGGTGTACGGCATAGATTCTCTGGCGGCGGTGGAGGTAAGGAATTGGTTGAGGGGAGAGTTGGGGGCGCTTGTCACGACCCTGGATATTGTCAACGCGACTTCTTTGTTAGAACTTTGCAAGAAGATCGTTGCGAAGTTTGTAGCTTCTTGAAAGAAAACGAAGGGAGAAAACAGGAACTGCACACTTAGATTCAATGTCCGTAGCTTTAAACATTTATTCATTAGTCTTAGAAAATGTTTGCAAATAGAAATTGAGTTACGATATAGCAGGTCATAGCGAAATGCATTTTATAAAGTTAGAAATAGAAGCACAAGTACAGAAAACAAACTCTTCGTCCCAGTCCAGAAAGCTCCTACACACTTGCCAAGAATATATTCTTTCAATTGGAGTTGACTCACGAATGGGCGCGCGAAGTAGTGCGTGCCTTGTTGACAAAGTAAGCTTGGAATTGGAAAGTGAATGAATGAGATGCATGAAGCACCGCGTTACTATGTCATATAACTGCCTCGAAGATTTCGTTCCTGCTATCAGCTGGTTCCTTGGCATAAGAGGCTGTGCTGTACCGTACCGTACTGTACCTACCTAGGTATTAATATTCTTCAACCGCTTACCCGTAAGCCGAAATGAAGGCGAAATACAGTACATGTACCAAAGCGAAAAACGAAACAAAAAAAGCAAGGCATCGAATTCGCGGTACGGGACTCGGGAGGAAGTCCGAAGCACGGCATGTTGACCGAGCTCGACTGACTCGGAAGTTTGTCCCTCTTTTGGGGTGCGCTGGTCATGGATGGGATGCGATATAAATTAAACTTATTTCGCCAACGAGTCGAAACGACCCCTCCATGATCCTGAGGTTCAGGTTGGACCTAGATGCCATGCCCCGCAATACATTTCCGAAGATCACGAACCGAGAGTAGGTAATCATGGGATGAAACAGCCGGGGAACCTTATTAAGTAGAAGAGGACTGGAAATTCTGACCCATCTTACCTTATCTGCGTGCATGCATACAGTAGGAAGGGCAGCTCACTTCACTTTGAAACGTCGTGTTCTGTCTGCACGGTGAGAAACACAACTCCCGAAGGACTTGAGAAACCCATCCACAGATCTTTCTTTCTCTTCAGCCCACGAGCCCTACAGTACCGGAACCGTGCGGTACTGTACTGCGACATGCATTGCCAGTTGTACTGCACTGCTTGCTCATATTCGGCGATAACGAGCTGTACATCTTCTAGTGGTACTGTACTGTACGTTTCAAGTAGGTAGGGTGGGCTGGCTGACGATTCAACGAATCTTCCAGAATTCCAACGTTTTCTCTCACCTTGAACTTCCAAGCCTCATTTCATCAATCGGCCAAGCAAGCAAGCAAGCGCGGCACGTGAAACCAGGTTTATTCCCACGAGGGAGGCTTTTCCTTTCTTTTCCTTTCGCTCGTGCCCCCTCCCTTCGGCCTTCGTACTTGTTACCTTACTCGGTATTCATGCCCTCCCTTCGTTTCGCATAAACACAAATGACCTCAATCAATTTCCCTCCTTCCAGGCTGTGTCCTAGCTCCGAGGAAGTTCAAACATCCGAGAGGATACGAATGGATTAATTAATTACACTTCGAAAGGTCTCGACCGCGGCGTGGACGGCGTGGATAGAAGGAAGATGAGGCTATCCCGAACCCGAAGTAGATTTATAAACATCAGAATTAAGAATTGCTGACGCTGGTCTTTGCACCGCTGATCTGTGGAATACTCGCGGGGTGTACTCGTATCCCATCTCATTTGCGGGGGGTGATTGGAGGTCTTCTCAGCTCTTCAGAAAGAGGGGTATTCTAGATGTTGAGGGTTTGTGGCTAGGCTAGGTAAACGCATTTATGCATCTTCAATGCATCGGACGACGGTTGAGGCGTGACGGCGTCCAGAACTGGCAATCGTGTCACATCCCAATCATAAGTTTCGGTCGTCAAGGCTAGCGGATTAGTTGATTTTAAAGAGATTGAGCATTACGGAGGGGATACGCACGCCTTTCGCTGCGTCGCAATGCCCTCGTTATCAAGATCTCGGGTGCAGATTCTGCAGAGAGAGCCAAGAGAACAGTCCTTGCTGTCTGTAAGGACGATAGAGTCTACGACTAAAATAAATCGTACCCTTGCGTGCAATGAATCTACTGTACGGTACTACGGAGTAGAGCGAGGAGCTGAGGGATTAATTGTACAATGCCCATGGTGTTTACTCTTATTCGTGGAGCGTCACGGCGGCTTTTGCAATTCAAGAACCCCTTTTGCGGGCCGGGAAGCCAATCGCCTGGCTTGAAACATGGTGCAGCAAAATCCACCGTCTGTTGCTGGGGACGACGGACGAAAAGTCCAATGAGAAGACACGCTTTAAACTAGACGGCGAACAAGCGAAGTGTCCTACAGTAAATTACAGTAATCATTTATATCATTTTAAATTGAATCCCCCGAGCGCCACAACATCTCCTTTACCCCAGCTCAACGCACGCACTGCATGGCTGCCCGCACGAGTATTCGCTGCACAGCAAAACGGTGAGGACTGGCGAGACTGGCTGACTGGCTCAGTCTCGCTCCAGTCTGTCTGTCTCTGGCCTCTCAGACTCTCAGTCTTCTCCCGTACCTGCATCTGCCCCCTCCGCCCATCTGTCTGTGGATCCCCAAGGGGCGTGCGGTGGAGTGCCCTGGCGCCTGCAGGCCCTGATCCAATCTTGATTTTAGTCTCTCGGATCCATGGCGCATCCACGCCCCCCCCTGGCCCCCCGTAATACAGACTTCCCTTTTGTCTGCCACACCCGCACCTCCTCTGCACCGACTCTTCTTCTTTTCTCTCCACCAAGCTTCATCTTGACCACTACAGTCCTTACAGTCGCTCTTTGCACAAGTTACGTTCTTCATTTCCAACCTCCAGTCACTCTTTTTTTGAACAAGACTTTGCGGAATCGACTTTCGCTCGTTACCCACTGTCCATACCGATATTTCCAGCGCCAGACCCCTCGAACCCCTATCATCACAAATATTTGTAGAAGCATCATCAATTGCTTAGGAAGAATTTGAAGAAACAAGAAGACTTTTCTCCCCAACCCGATTACCATATCCACAATGCAGTACACCGCATTGTCTGTGGCCTTCTTCGCGGCTTTGGCCACCGCTCATCAACATGCTCCCCAGCATTTCCACCACCGCAGACAGCTCAATGGAACCTCCACCGACTCTGGTGACCAGACCACTTTGGTTGTCACTCACTTCATCACCAGCACTATCACCAGCTGCGCCGCAACTGTGACAAACTGCCCAGCGAGAAACTCCGCATCTGCTGGTGTCGTTGTCACTGACACTGTTGTCGTTGCCACAGTGAGTAATGAAGTCGAAAAAGTGATAGCCTAGGGAACTAACAATACTTTTAGACTGTCTGCCCAGTTGCGGAAGCTTCATCTGCCAGCGCCGCAGCCATCGCCTCGTACGTCGCTTCTACCAGTGCTGCTTCCAGTGCATCAGCGACTGGTTCAGGATACGCTCCAGCAGGACCCGGTCCTACTGCCCCAGGCGGACCAGTAGCGGGTACTTCTGCCCCAGCTGCATCTTCTGTCGCCGGTGGAGCCTCTTCTCCAGCATCCTCCGCACCAGCAGGCTCAAACGTCGTTGGAGCTGTCACCACATCCGCTCCATCAGTCCCTCTCAGCACTGGCTCTGGAGGTAGCGTTGTAGCAGTTGGCACATCTAACACTGTCCTCACCTACACTCTCGGCTCCGGCTCATCCACCACCGTTGTCACCACTACCATCAAGCACACCAGCTACGCTACCGTCCTTGCCACCAAGTCTGCCAGCTCTGGCGCCGCAGGTGGAGCAGCTGGATCGGCCAGTGCCTCTGGTCCCACTACCACTCTCTATGGTACCGAGACCTCCACCAAATATGTTACCGTCGTGGCAGCTTCTACAGCCAGCGGTTCAGCTGGAGCTAGTGCTACAGCCGGAAGCAGCGCAGGTGCTGCTGGTGCCTCGGGTTCCGCATCAGGTTCTGCTGGCCTCAAGACTGATGTTGCAGCCTCTGGATCTTGCGCCCCAGTCACCGTCACTGTTGCTCTCTCAACTGTCACTGTGGTATGTTTCCAATGCTCCTAATATCGCAGTCCCAAATTAACGTAATTAATAGACTGCCGCCGCATCAGGTGCTGCCTCAGCTTCAAGCCTTGCCGTCAAGAACCAAGCTGCCAGCAGCTCAGGCTCCGCGGTTGTAGTCCTCAGCACCGCGACTGTGCTCCCAGTCCCAGTCAGCACCGGACCCCCATACGGAAACGGTACCGATAGCAACGGCTCTGGTGCCGCCAGCGGAACCGCATCCCGCAAGCCCTGCTCCAGTGTCTTCCCCAGCGGATTCATCTCCAAGGCCGCCAAGCCCACCGGCTACTAAACACCTTGTCACGATGTGAGGAGGGACATTGGAGGAGGTGAAGGAGGGAGGGGTTAAGGGAAGACAGAACCCGTTACATTCTTGTTTCTAGATATTTTTTTCCTTTGCTTTTGTGATTTACATAACCATTTCGGTTTGGTTTTGCTTGATGACGGTGGTTGAACTGGGCTGGGCTTGGCTTTTTGGACAAGGCAAGGCAAGAAAGACAAGCAAGCTTATAACGCAGCGAGCGCGCATGGGAAGCACATACATATTATGATCTATCTTCTTGTAGTTATAATATGTATTTCTTTGTACAATTGAGATGCCTACCGATGTCCACTAGGTCATGTCATGTTTTCCGCCCTTCATCATTCATTCATCATCCATCGACAGACTGACAGACAAGCGAGCGATACATTGCATTGCATTTCATCAACCAACCGGCTTGGGGGGGTTCTGGGCGTTTGCAATTGAAATCGCGCGGCTATGGGTAGGGTCCGATAGAGCAAATGACAAGATTATATAAATGTATCTATCTATCTATCCAACACAGACAAGTAGACGAGCAAAGCCGATTTCCATTCCATCCGATTCTATTCTACACTCTGTTGTCATAGTGTAGTTAAGTAAACCTTTTCGCTTTTTCGTATTTCGAGATGTATGTATGCTGAATGACTGGCATGATTTGATATGTGAGTGAGTTTTGTTTTGTTTAAGTGGGAGAGGGTGGGAGGATGGATGATGTTGGGTTTAGGGGTTGGGTTTTATGTGTGCGTGGAGCGGGAATGGAATTTACGTTCCTTATGGAGGGGGTGTGACTGGGGAGGATGGGAAGGATGGATGGGTGGGATGGGGATGGTGAAGATGGTATGATTAGGAAGATTTGAGGAATATACAGTACTGTATATAGTAAGGAGTATAGTAGGGGCTGACTGACTGACTGACTGACTGGGTGTTTGTTGACTTGAGTGAAAGATGTTGGGTGAGTGTATGGGTGTATGGGCTATAAGTAGTGGGTTTATATGGAATGGTGTGGTGTGAGTAGTGGATTTGATGTTTTATGAAGATTTCTAGGTGGTTTATGAATATTGGCGCATTTGTGAGGGACCCAGGTAGTTTAGTCACGAATTCATGATAAGATTCACGACTGAGCTAGGTTACTCGTAAATCCAGTTCAGTCGTGAATCTCAGGGTCGGTTTATGACTGGACTGACCATATTCTTAATGTAGACGGTTTATGAGTGAACCGGAACAGATAAATAAAGGATCTCTGCGGTTCGTCCTATGTGCGGAGTACTCCCTATATTACTTCGTGTATTGCTATAGTATATAATGATATAATAATACTTGCGGTGCAATCAATAATCTATTTCGAGCCGGTTAAATCTAATCTCTATGCATTGATATATCTTCCGTAGCAGCCGTTCTAACTTACTAGATGCGGGACTAGGCGCCGATCGTCTGTAGGTGACAATGATGGGGATGGAGAGGGCTTGAATGGCGTGGCGTCTAGAACCGTCCCGTCACCTGTAAGCGGAAAGACAGTTCACCGGCCGCTCCAAGCGATAGACGGTAGTGAGTGAGGTAAATCACACGCTCGGGGTTTCAAAAATCAGTCAGTTCGCAACACTAGCATGTACTACTCGGTCGTATAGTGATCTGAGTGAGATGTGAGATGAAATAAAAGAAGAGAGAAGAGAGTGAGAAAATGCTTTGTTTCTGACTGCTTCTTACTGCGTCCAAATTGCTCGGTCATCGGAAACAACTAGCGCCATATTCGGTTAGCGGCTACCAACTCCACCTGCCCAAGTCACCAACCTAAAGACATCCGCTTCCAGTTCCAGATGATAATACATCATCTTGCGACCTCGACGCACACGCACACGCACACTTCACCAACCTCCTCCATTTCAATGTCCCGCGCAACTTAGAACTTTGTACCTTCCTCTTTCTTCCTTCCATTCTGCGTACACTGTTTGCGGACTTCTTCTATTCAGCCTCAGCTCAGCATCAGCATCTTATTCTGCTTTTTACCTACCGCGCAAACAGCATATCACACCAGTCACTGTCGTTCGCACCTCTAGCATAGATACACATAACAAATTCGCCGGGAAGCACCAAAATACCATCATTGCCCCTCATCGTACATACCCAGACAACCCCGCCTACACCGAGTTCCAACTCCCGCCTTGATCTACCGATACTACAACACATATGATGCGTCGCGCCTTAGAAGACCTCAGCGACCCAGATCGCAACCTGGCCGAGTCGACAGGCCAACTTCCCGATATGCCCCAAAACATCGACCTAGACCTCATCACCGAAGAATCCAACGATGCGCGTATACACACCCCTCCACCCCGCATCGCAGCACGTTTTTACCGTCCTACAAACAACCGTCGCAAATCTTCCGCCGCCTCCTCTCGCCGCAACTCTATATCCTCGGTACATTCACACCAGTCGCATGCCTCCAGAGGTCCAGATCTAGATGGCAGCCCTCAGAGTAATTATATCGCTCAGCACCTGCGACGTGCGTCGATCTTGGAGGATCGAAAGGCCCGGCTGGCAGACAGGGCAGCACATGCAGAGAAAGTCAGGCTCAGAGCAGCCCTGGCCAAGGCAGCGCCCCGCAGCGTTATAAATAGCGAGGAGAGGGCATTAGCTGCGCAACATGCAAGAGAGAAGAACCTTGCGGAGATTGTGGCTAGTTGTGCCGAGGAGGTGAGGAGGGCAAAGGGTGTTGCTGAGAGCATGAAGGAGAAGAGGGAGGCTGATGGCAAGCGAGTGAGAAAGGAGATGGAAGACAAGCTTGCCGAAGCAGAAAGGAGGAGGGAGGAAATCCTTAATAGGGGGGGAAATACAAAGAGAGGACGCTCAGCGAGCCAGCGTAGGAAGAGCTCTTCTCCTCTGCCAAAAATCCGGGAACAAATCAGTGAAGCTACGGCTGCTTCCAGGATTCAGCAAAAATGGAGAGCCCATCGCAGATGGAAGGCTCTCAAGGATTTCTCGGACTTGGGTCTTACAATTGATGGTGTACGGGAGACGTCTTTTGAGAAGGTCGTCGATTTACTGGCAGATGAAAAAGTCGTAGTGGGCACTGCTCGGGTGCTGAGAATCTGTGGGTTGGAGGAAGGAGAGAGCGGGTCCGTCAACGAAATGACTGCAGTTCGAACCTTCCTGAGTGCATTCCTTATTCTAGGACACCCAACTCAGGTGCTTAGCGGTAAAGGTGAAAAAGGAGAGGCAGGGCAGGTGCAGGTGGGAGTATTGCCAATGCGGAGAGATGATCTAGCTAATCCCCAGCTGCAGGATCTTGTTGCTAAAGCTCGGGATTTGTTAATCTCTTTCGAGAATGTTTTATCGCGACTAACACCTACGAACAACTATACTCCCCCGCCTGCTCAGTTCTCAAATTTGTCAGACGTCTATGCCACTTTCTTCAACGCATTTATTGCTTGGAAGGCGCGGGACTCGAGCACACTTATCGATATGATGGTCCTGCAATTTGTAGAACTTGATTTGATATGGCAGACTGTGAAAGATAGCACTGAAGAAGCTGTCACTGATTCTTATCGAGACGGCATTCGAGAAAATCAACTCAAGTTGATGGTTAGGATCAAGAAACTGGCTGGTCCCGACAGAGGAAAGAAGTTGATCACGAAAGCTATAAGGGAAGCGCGTGCCGCACGTGCTATAAAACAACCCGAAGGAGATTCTCGACCACGCGCCGCAGAGTCAGTCACCTCTGAGACTCCAGCTATTGCAGATTTATCTGCGTCCGAGAAGTCGGTGGCTACTCATTTGCAAACGCTGACCCCACCGTCGACACCCCGCAAACGTGAGCCTCCGAGATCTGAGGTTGATGCCCTAAGAAGTGCGACTACGATTCTCCCTGACAATCGAATCATCGCTCATGAAATCGCTATCAACCGAGAATATCGCATCGGAGAAGATGCTCTCGAATACAGGGACTCGTTGATGAGTGCCGTCTTTGACGTTATGCGTCGAGATATCGCTCAAGGGAACAGCGAACCATGGGTTCTTGCGATGGCTGAGAACATCAAGGGAAAGCTTCTGAATCTCCTGAAGCAGGGCAATTCGATGCACACTCTCATCAGCGAAGCTCTCGATAACGACGTTGTAGCTCGTGAACTTCAAAGTGGCTCTTTCTCTTATGAGAAGTTTTTCTCATTCATGGCAACTATCATTCCTCGCCTCTGCGCTCCTTTCCGTGACGAAGAAATGAAGGAGCTGGTTGAAAACAAGATGCAGAGCGGTGATGTGGTTGATCGCCTGCAGAGCCTGATGCACGCCACGGATCTCATGCAAATTGATTATGCGAACTTTATGTTGCAAGCTGCCGCACCAGAACTTATCAAGCACGCAGCTGCATACGAGACAACACGCTTCGCAGAGATAATGGATGAGACTTCAAATAATCTCTCAGCAACTCAGCAAGCATGGGAAGAAGCCAGGGCTAAGGTTTATGCCGAGGCGGCCAGACGAGATCCGCAGCTAGCGAGGAGCCGACCGATGCCTGATAAGATATATTCTCACATGCTGGTCGACGTCTTTACCAACCTCGACCCCTCAGTACCTACCCCTGAAACACTTCAGGTAGATAGCAAACGCATCCAGTCTACTCGCGGCGACATTCTTCGCATCATTACTACAGGTGCGATTCTTCTTCAGTGTAAGAACATGTTGAAGCGAGATGTTCGCAGCCAGTGGAAGACCGAAGCAACACGTATCCTTTCGGTGCTGGAAAACGCCAAGAGTGTCGAGAGCGCAAGTCAAGGCATTCAAGCAGCATTGGAATCCTCTCGCAGCATGCCAGCTGCTACGAAGAACCACATTCGTGAACTAGTTACAAGGATCGTGGGAATCTCTGCCTCTATTTCAGGCCCTCCCTCCGATTCGACCACGTCATCTTCAGAGCTCAGAGACCCGGTTATGCGTCTGTTGATGACCAGATTGAAGGGACACATCCATACACGCCTGACGGCCAGAACAGAGAGAGAGAAAGTCAAGAGCGCCAGTACTGCTAGTGAAAGTCTTGCTACACTTGGACTACCTGAGTTTGTGCAAAAGGTTGGCGCTATCGTGGAAGAGATGGGCAAAGTGGGTGCATTGGATAGAGAAGCCCACGGACTGTGGTATGAGCTCGTTGCCAAGAAGGCTGAAGATGCAGAGACGGAAGTTGCTTCTTGATTCATACATATTTCATCATTGGAGTGGAGTGGAGGTTTGGCATGGCATGGCATTATGATGTAATAAGGGCACCGGACATGGCTGGCGTTTGGGGGGTTGGTTTTGTTTTGTTGATAATACGGAGCGGACAGGATAGGCTGGCATGGCACGATATAACGATTCCCTTTAGTACGATATGGGTCTGGCTGGGATTGACGACAGCATTCGGGGGGGCGTTTGGGGGATTGACATTATATGTTTGTATTTTTTTGGCATTAGCATGGACAGAGGACAGATATAGCGACGAGCCTTACTTAGATTGGGACAGGACAGGACAGCGAGATGTTGAATGAGAATTCAATAGCGTATATTTTACTTTACTTGAACCCTGCAAAATTTCTGGTGAGGGTGCGTGACTGACGAACGACCTGGTATCTTCTAATGTCACTTCTTTGACGTGCATGTTTTCTGTCCATACCTAGAGCACCTTATATTTAAAACCTCACATCTTGATTTTTTGTTTATACTTGTGCTTATTTATCTGATTTTATATAATATGATCTAATGATCTGATCCAAGAAGCCTGAGCCGAGCCCCTATTCTTGCAAGCGAGATAGAGGTAACGTGATTAGAGTAGGTCGGACTTATATAGATTGAAATGATAGCCATGGCTAATACATACGACCATAGGCTGAGGATAATTAGGCTATCTCAGCTGTTTGCTTATGCATAAGCTTTAGTTCAAATCCTACTTAAGTGCATCTGTAGGGATAAGGGACTGCATCCCGACCTTTCTAGTCATGTGATTTGGTGTAGCTTAGTAAGCGAAGAGGGCGTCCACAACACCATACCAAATGCTAAGCATCATCAACCAGAATACCTAGAATCAAGTCCATACTACGTAGTAGAGAAGTGGTTATGTATCACTGCGCAAAAGGGAGGCTTATTTGCGGTCTTTTGGGTGTACGTATTCGTGCTGGCCATAGCTCGGGAAAGTGGCACTATAGGCAAAGAGGGGTTTTTCTTTGAATTGTCTCGATTAATTCGAGCCTCTAGTTTAGTGTTCGTGAAACATTCTAAGATACAATACATTGTTCTTGCGGAGAGAAGTAGTACGAACTAAGATTAGAAACCAAATTATCCGGGGTTTTGGTTTCCACCTATCCTATCACGCGAAAAACGTGGCGGGCCTGAGTGTCACGTGTATCTCCTCCAGAATCTTGCCATCCAACCTTCGCTCCTTCTATCACGTGAAACGATAAGTGGACGATTAATTCAGCGCCAGTTGTCATGGAATTGTAATATAATCACGTAATATTTTGATAGAAATATTGTACATACACTAAATTGTTTTATAAGCAAACAGCGGGTTCATTCATCTTAGAATCAAAGCGATGTTGTTTCACCACATGACACTTAGGCTCGCCACGTCTTTTCCCAGGGCCCATCCCTGTAACCTCCACCCCTGTAACCTCCACCCATAATCTTGGAGAATTATATTCGAAACTCAGCGATGGATTCTTGAGCGCCTCCGAATCTTTAGTTGCTGTTAGTTGTAGCCGTGGATCTGTTAACTCACCACCGTCGAAGTTATAAATATGACAAGGGGAGTAGGCTGATTGTCTTCCTAACCCTCTTTCCATTTCGCCTTGTCAATTCGCCGACTTTTTTGCATTTCTCTTCTTCACTTCACAGTCACTCTTTTACATTTGCTTTCTTCAATATGTTCCGTTCATTGCAGGCAATTACCTTTCTCGCGTTGCTCGTATTGGCAGCAGCGAACCCCGCTCGTTTTCCCCCGGGCGAAATTGCTGAGGACGAGTGTGGCTTCGAAAACGATACACCTCCTGCTGCTTTTGAGACTCCAACTACCTCTATCCAAGCTGCTTCGTCCTATGCTACTCCAGTTACGACTGCCTCTGTTCAAGCTGCTTCTTCTGTCCAAACTGCTTCTTCTGTCCAGGCTGCTTCTTCTGTCCAGGCTGCTCCCTCTGTCCAAGCTGCTCCCTCAGCAGGCTCAAGCATGGCTTCGGCCCCATCAACCTCGAGTTTTGCGACCGTTTCCGCTTCCTCAGCTTCACCAGCTATCCAAGCTGCTTCCTCAGCA